AGCCAAGAACGTTGCGCTGAACGGAGTCACTGTCTGTTGCGAATGAAGGGAGGGCTATGGGAAGCCGAGAGCCGTGCCTCGGAACTATTGCGTCAGAAGTCCCGGTTGTAGATGATTGGGCACAACATTATCAGAGCTTTGTTTACAGTTTGTCTTTGTTTGGGGGATTGTTGAGCGTGTTAATTTGGTCGATCTTTTGGGTGGGTGGGCTGAAGCGTCGTTCCGCCTTATTTTCCAGTGGATGATTCATACCAACTGGGGCGGGTCCAAGCAACCGGGTCAAGTCAACTAAACTGAAAATTGTGGTCGCGTTTGTGTGTTATATTTTCGAGACAGTAAATTTTTGTCGATGATGAAACGGTTGCTCGCTATCGTGGGGACGGTGCTAGCGGCGGAGGGTGTGCCGGAGAGTGATGCTTACCCTATGATCGAGTACTGGATGGCGAATGACTTCCGTTCTAATCCGATGTGTACGGACAAGGGTGTGCTCAAGGCGGAGACATATCCTTACCGACGATCGTTGGGTTTGCAGGAGTCTGCGAAGAGTTACATGGAGGCGTATGCGTCGTCTCTGAAGAAGCAGTCGACGTCAGATATGGTGTATCAGTCGAGTCAGAGGAGGACGACGAGTTCTTACGAGGATATGATGGCTGGTGCGCTGAAGGCGGCCTTGGCCAAGAAGCGGCTAGCGGCCGAGCCATCGGCCAAGTCTTCGTCGGTTAGTGACGACTTGGGTGGGGTGAGTGGGGCTGTCTGCAACATGATTGTGTCGCAGCAGGTGGAGACGGAAAGTTTCTGCAATCTCATGGCGGGTGTCACCGTCGATCATTACTGCCAAGACAACTACCAGTACAACGACCCGAACGCGGTCTACGAGAAGGTGTTGAATCCCTCCGAAGACTTCGGCGTTGTCATCCCGGACCAGTGTCTAGCACCCGCAACCGCGGCGCAACAACCCCTTGACCTCTTTATCCAGCAGTACCGTTCCACACCTGATAATTTGGACTTAAGTGTAGTTGGAGGAGAACGCAAGGTCTACTACCTTTTGTGGAAGGCGATTGAGAAGCTGGAACGCTACGCGGAACGCAAATTGTTGCAGGCGGAGCTGGGGAAGACCGTTAAGAAGAACAAGGTCAGTTCCATCCACCAGCTGTACCGTGATACCGAGGTCTTTGAAACGATTTTGCCGGAGTGGGTGGTGAGTCGAGTTATTTATACCAACGAGCCGATGTATAAGGGTAGCGACCTGACGCTGCGCACTCCCTTAGCTGTGATCGCGCGTCGAGGCAATAACTTGTTGATGACCATCCGCCGGTCGCTCACTAGCTATGACAGCCGTTTCGCGTTGTATAACCAACAAGCCTTCAAGTACCTGTATAACTTCACCGGTCAATTACACGATGGCTCGAGCTCATATATGCAGGCCATGCTGGCGCCCCTCACTATGGAGGTGGAGAGTCTTGTGACCTCACTCGCGGACAGTGGGATTGTGAGCAAGCTGACCATCACCGCAGCCGACGCGCCCGCCGTGGGCGCCGCGGCCGGACTTGGCGACCACTTGAGCAGACAGTTTGCCGACCAGCTGCAGGTGGATGTAGTCGGCTTCGGTAACCCGTACTTCGGAGACAAAGACTTCCTCGAGTCCGTAAGGAATAACGTAGAACTGCGAGTCATCCATCTCGAAGGCGACTCCACCGATCTCCTGCCCTGCGCCGGAGTACTGACCTGCGACGATACCCTACTTTACATCAGGACGGGCATCGAGTCTGGCAAACAATTCTGGTATGAACGCTCTCACGGATACGTCTCCATCCCGCTATCCGATCTGGGCGCTGTCAACAAGGCCTGGAATGACGAGTCCGCGGTCTTCCAAGTAGCCGCCATCCGCGACTGCGGCTACGCATGCACTCTGGCTTATGGCGCGTGCAGAGTCAACCCCGATGTCGACCTGTGCGACCCCGACGTCTGCGAGTCATTCATCAGAACGTAAAATACTAACGCCGGATCGAAACCGGCCGGATCGAAACCCGCCGGATCGAAACCCGCCGGATCGAGGCCCGCTGGTGTCAGCACCTTGATAGTTGTATGCGGACCGCTGAGACACTACAAGCTGCTGGAAAACCATGAACTGGCACACATCACCCACTGTTGGGACGCCACTGACGACTCTAATAATATTTTGTGCCTTAGACAAAAGCTCACCCTTAGGAATCGACTGTTTGCGGGTCGACTTTTTTTGACGATGAATGTATAATAGTGATGAGCGAAGACACAATCGTAATGCACGCGAAACAACTGCCGGGCTTGGCTTGACCTGCCCTTGCTGCTACCCCCCTACCTGTTGGCACACGGGTGTCCATTTTGCATTTTAATCTTATTTTTCACCGGGCTTTGGCCATCTAGAGCTAATAAGCCAGGGTGCTCAAGCAGAAAATTTATTTTTGTAAAATATGAGTGAAGAGCAGCAGACGGAGACTAAGGTACCTACTGACCACATCCAAGTCAAAGTACGTTCGGTGGATGGCAATGAGGTGTATTTCCGTATCAGGAAGACCACAAAGATGGAGAAGTTAATGACAACATATTGTGCTAGACTCGGCCAGTCTTTGGACGCGGTCCGTTTCCTATATGATGGGGAGCGCATCCGGGGGGATCACACAGCGGAAGACTTGGGCATGGAGGATGACGACCTTATTGACGCCATGGTACAACAGGTGGGTGGCAGTGCTTGATCCGCTCACATGCCACATCCCCCATGATGTCCGTCCGGGGTTTTCAGGGAGGCTCTAACCACCCGGTGGTCCTACCTAGGGGTTTTTAGATAGAGTCTTAATAACAGGCTGTCAAACGAGCACCGTGATGTAAGTGCAGGCTCGTCTCAAGCTCCCAACTGAGCACACCAACCCCCCAGCAAATAACTGAGTGGCCCCGGGGGGGGGGGGGGGCTGCGCCGTGCACGACGAATTCGGTTTGATGGGGACTGTCATTATTCTTACATGTTCTACAAAAACTGTTTTACCATCTGGTGAGGAGCGCAGCTCTGGCGTTGAGCATGGCTGCCCTTGGACTCCCGTTTGTTCCGGTGGCTGTTGCGATTGGCCAGATAGGTTGTGGGGATTTGCCCGTTTTGTTAGGGGTGTTTTTCTTGGTTTGGGGTGCCAGTGTAGTGGCGGCGGTACGATCGAGCCAGAGTTCGAGATCATGTTGTAGTAGACAACGCTGTGCTTTAATGTAGTTGACAACCTCCTGACTGGAGCATCGTCGATTGGCATCGAACTGAAGACAGGCCGATAAGATGGCATGTAACTTGGCTGGTAGGTGACGAGGAATGCGTATCTCACGCTTCAATCGTCCACACAAGTAATGCGCCCTTAGCTCCTCTCGTTGCATACTCTCTGGCACACCATCCAGCAAATGGTAAAACGGCGTAGGACAACATAGCATCTCCAAATACACGCAACCCATTGCCCACACATCTACCAACTCTGTAGCACCTACAGGACGCGCAGCATCCTCCGAACATACCAACTCTGGAGACACATATTGCCACGTAGCCGCCGTGCAACATTGTAAGTACCTCTGAGTCAATACCTCCGCATCTCCAAAGTCGCAAATCTTCAACACGTCTCCCGCGGTCACCAACAAATTATTGCACTTTATGTCCTTGTGCGCCACACGCCGAGCGTGCAAATAGGCCAACCCCTCCGCCAACTGCTCCATCAAACGCAACCGACGCGCGCCAGACAACCGCACCGGCTTGTGGTACAACAACTACAACAAAGTATGTGTGTGCACACGTGTGTGCGATAACGTGCCAGTGTGTACAACCACTTGTCGTGATGCACAACCACTTGTCGTGATGCACAAGCTCTTGTCGTGCATCGGACACAAACATGTGTGTGTGTTCGATCCTACGTTGTAGACGTCTCCGCCGTGCACGAACTCGGTAACCAACCACACAGTGTCGCCGTTGAGCACAATGCCGCCGAGCAGTTGGACGATGTGCGGGTCGTCTATCTGCGCGAGGATCTTCCACTCAGCCAGCGCGCGATGGACCATCATACCAGGGTCGGTTTGGAGCAGCTTCTTATGGGGGCACTTCACCGCCACATCACGGCCATAAAGTCTTCCGAGGTACACGCTGCAGAAGGTGCCCGAGTTGATGCGGAAGGACGTGGGCAGCAGTTCCTCCGGGTTCCCGGCGTAGTCACGCAGCGCGATCCCGCGACCACTCGTCGTAATGAGCTCCAAATCCGCATAGTCTAACACACTGGCCGACCCGATCTCGCGAATCACCTTTGATAAAAGGTCCGAGCGTCGCCGGCTCGCCAACGCGCCTACCACACCCCTATCAGAGACCACTCCCCCACCAGGAACCATTCCCCCACCAGGAACCATTCCCCCACCAGGAACCACTCCCCCGCCAGAGACCGCACCGGGGGCCACCGCGGTCGGTGAATTGCCAGTGCTTGCCTGGGCCAGCGCTGCGCCCGGGAACTGCCCCAGTCCAGCGCCCAGACTGGCACTAAAGCCCGCGGCCAGCAAACCCGAACCGTTCGCAGCGCCGCTGGAGCGCCCATGCGCCTGGCGCGGCTGTTCCGACTCAAGACTCGGCAGCCGGTCCCCCAGCCGTGCGTCTTGAAGTCGGGGGTCGCCCAACCGCGGGTCCCCCCGTCGGGGGTCCCCCAGCCGGCAGTCGCCCAGTCGGGGGTCGCCCAAATGCGGTTTGGTAAGGAGATGTCGCGCGGTCCAGTCTCGACGGGCGGCTTCAGCGACTCGTTGTTCGAATGCGACTGGACACGCACCCTCAGTCGCCCGAAGCGTCTGCGGCGCCTCCGTAAAGCGCTGCTCGAGCAATGCCCCTGGCTTCGCACCCGCCACCGCCTTCATCGTCGGTCGCTCCCCGATTGTCCGCGGCTTCCGCAACCGTCCCGGTGCCAACAATTCCATCTGAACTGTCGGCTGCACGATACGTCGTCGCCGTTGCGGCTCGCCCCGTCGACCCGATCCGAAGTCCTCCGCGGACGTGTCCAGGCTCGCCGCCTCCACGCTATGCGGCTCCTGAGTTCGAGACTCCGCTCCACGTGACTCTGCTCCACGTGACTCTGCTCCACGTGACTCTGCGCCACGTGACTCCGGATGCCGCACCAAACTTCGCAAGTCGCCCGCGGCATACGCACTCCCGGAGGTGTAGGCCCCTACTCCCGAGGCGTATCCGGCCCCTACTCCGTTGCCGCCAACAGAGCCGGTGAAGGTCGCGGCGAGTGCACTCCGACGATTCGGGACGGGGCAGTCAGTAAGACGCGAGGCGACGCTCATGGAGGCACTCACATGGTAGTCAACCGAGCGCATTTCGAGCAAGTTATTCGACGCCGTCGGAGGACCGCCTCTGACCCGCCCTTCTTGATTGCCGGCATCGCGTCCGGTCGCTGACTCCGGCGAAATCGGGACGTCCTTAGAATCACTCGAAGTTGCTTCCACCGTCTCCTCCACACGCTCCCGCAGTCGCGATGAGCTCGAACTCGGCACCCCCGATGCGTTGCGGCTCTCCACCGTTGGCTGCCGTTTCAAACCTACGCCACGATGTCGTCCACTAGATGCCTGGTCCTCCACCTCACCCGAACCACGACCAGGACCACCATGATCCCCACGTCCAGAGCCGGCTTTGGGCGACCGCATGTCGGTCTCCGCTTTCTCGCGTTCCGCCAGCCTCGTTCGGCTATTTTCGCCTGCCGCTGCCCGCTTCTTGCTCTCTAACGACAGAGCGGGGTCCGACCGTGCTGGGTCCGGCCGATTACCCGACCCAGGGCGATTACCCGACCCGGTCCGATCCCCGGGTGACCCAGTGGTGCGATCCCCCGGTCCGGTCCGCTCCCCTATGCGGTCTACGGGACGCAGGGTGTGGCTGGCGGAGCTGCGTCCCGGCGAGGCACGCGCCGCGGTGCCATTGGACTGACGCGCCTCTTTGGGCGACTGAGACGCAACCGGACTCGGAAGCAATCTTTCCCGCAAGTCCACTCGAGGGTCTATTCGAGCGTCAAGCCTTAGGTCACCCCGCGGATCTGCCCGCAGGTCTACCGATACCTTTTCGACAGAGGCGATGTCCGGAGATCGGTCGCTGGGTCGCGCCGGTCGCCGCCGAGAACCCACGTCGCCGTTCTTCCGCGTAGGCCGTACTGGCGGCGAACTCACACCAGAACTGTTGGTCAAGACCTTGTCTTTCTCGAGAGCCGTCGCGAAGCCCCCGGCAGGTCCAGCCGTGGCGGCAGGTCCAGCCGTGGCAGGAGAGCCAGCCATAGAGGGGGAGCCGCCAGCCAAAGCGGGAGAGCCGCCAACCATAGCGGGAGAGGGACTGCCCGGCGCGTAGTAGTGCCCACCAGAAATGTTTCGGGTGCTAGGCGTTGGCTCTCGGGTCATTGTTTTACCGCCGCTGCGCGGGACGGCGCGCTGCGGGGAGCGGGCGAATTCCGCGGCTGAAGGCGAGCTCATAAATCCAGTCCTTTTAGGTTCATCCCTCTTGGCCTGCTCCTGCAGGAGACGATGCCGCTCGCGCTTGAGCCATTCCCGGTCCTCGGCCGTGACCATCGGCGCGGTCGGACTCTCGCGGCCGCTAGTGACCGAATCCCCATTCCGAAAATAGTCACCGTTTGGGCTCGCTGGCAACCGACTTCGGGAACCGGGACTCGCCAACGGCGATTTAGAAGAGATCTACAAAGACGCTTTGCGGGAGAGGAACATGCGGGAGGAGGCCAGGCGGGATCATACCATGTTATTTCTTTGAGGAGCGATATCCATCGGCTGGGAGGGAGGTGAGTAAATAACCGTCGGCCTCGTCGGTATCAGCCCTGTACTGGTTCCACGATTCAGAGGCTCCGTCCGTACGGTATCGATGCTCGTCTGGCGCCGCAGTCCCGCAGTCGCTGCCGACGACTGCCGCTTCATGTGGACCCGCGAGTGAACGGACAGAAAATGACGCAGGTAGACCGACATCTCGTCACCCGCAGGCAACACCGAAGAGGACAGCGGCGGGCCACTGGAACTACTGGAACTCTAAAGAACATCCGTGGCGTGATTGTTGCTGAAATGTTGACCCATTTTCGGGTTGCGCACACGTGTGTGCTGGGCTTACTGTCGCGCTTTCCTCGGTGTCATCGCAGGCTGCGCTCCATGGGACCGGGAACATTTATTAACGCGGATCAAAAAAGGTCAAGGGTTGCCTGGGGGCCGACTCTGGCGGCCAGGGGGCCGACTCTGGCGGCCAGAAAGCTTGGTCATGGTCATTGGGTTAGTAGACGTGGCCACTTGGTTTAGTAGACAAAGACCACTGGGCTTAGGTACGGCCGGTCGGCTGAGTAGACTTTACCTTAAACTTTGGGCGTGACGACGCCTAGGAAGATCCAGCACGAAATGAGTCCGCCAACGAGCGGGAATGCTTTGGCGGTGATGACGTAGGCGATGTTTTTGTTGCTGATGTCAATGAGTGGTTGGACACGGGGTGCGGAAAGCAGCTTGGCGCGGAAAGAGGGTACATCGGACCCGGCGAGGTGGACGGGGACGCCGCAGAAGGCGCAGTTGTCCTTGACCGGCAGTTTGCGTTTGCGCCAGAGTCGGAAGCCGTCTTCGAGCGTACGGCAGGTCTCCCACTTGCGCATTTCGTTTGTGTAATGTTCGCGGTCCACGTCGTCGTTATTGAAGTCGAAATCGTGCAGCAGGAGCGGCAAGCCGGAGCCGCGACCACTGGCCATGCTGCCTGGCATGTACGCCCCCTCATCATACTCCCCAGCTTCCTCCTCCTCCTCCTCCTTGGCGGCAAAGTTGTCCCCAAACTCGTCGTCGTAACCTGGCTCTCCGCCGTCCAGAACACCTTCTCGTCGGCCAGCCTCGCCCTCCCCACCAGCTCCATACGCCCCAGCTCCATATCCCCCACCCCCAGCTCCATAATCCTCCCTTTCCCCTTCTCCATACCGCTCCTCGCCTTCCTGTTCCTCTTCCGACTCCACGTCGTCCACCGAGCTGTAAGACTCGATCGGATTGAGCATGGCGTGCTCCCCTGCGTGCTCAAGCGACAACTGGTCACCCTCGGGCAGAACCACTGCAGTCTCTCGATCCTCCAACGCCGCTGCCTCAGCGGAGTCTGGGTCGTCAAAGACGTTGATGTAATCTTCCGTGCGCGTAACATAGTGCTGCGTGTTTTTCAGCGTGGGTAGCGTGCAGTTGCGATTACGGCGGCGTACCGCGCCAGCCGGGAGTACTGGGCTGATGTGTTGCAGACCGACAACGTCTTCGCCGTTGCTGACAGCCGCCTGTTCTCGAGTAAAACGTCGTGTCCTCTTCTCTCCGGTCTGGTTTTCGACTTGGTCTTCCGTCTGATCTTCGTCTACCGTCTGATCTTCGGCCTCTACGCCCCGGTTTCGGACACCTAAAGACTTGTCTCGAGGAAGTCCAAATGCCGCGAGAGTCTTGTGTCTAAGACTGGATCGCATGCTGACATTTAAGGCCGCCTTCATATCGGGCAAGAAGTTCTCATCCCCGGCGCTTCCCATGGCGTCAGTGGTTGTAGACATGTCCGTACCATGATGATTAGCCGTGCTAGTCTGCATATCATGTTTGGATATGCAACGAACGTCTAGTCGTGCTTTATACTCCATCATTTCTAGGTATTTGTTAAGGTGGCTGAGGTAGGTCTCGGAGTTCTCGAACTGTGTTGTAAGACCCTTGTTGTTTCGTGCAAGTTGAATCAGTTCCCGTAAGTCGGCCGCTAGGTTCTGTTCTATGGACTCTACCTCCGTCTCCGTCGGCGGCGGGGAGATAAAGACGTCCGTGTCCACCGGTGCCACGGCCTGGCCGAGTAATGGTCGCCATTGGTAGGGTGACTCAACGTCGTAATAAATGACCGTCGGATCCGCGTTCTGTAGGTTGCCATAGACCTGTTCGTTATTGAAGAAGGTTTCGAGGGTGGCGTAGGGTAACCAGGAGGCGAGTTCGAAGCTGCAGAGCTCAGCAGCTGGGGCCAGCAATAGGTCGCCATCGTCCACTTTGGGCTTCCGCTGTTCGGTCTGGTCCACGGACTTCAGAACCGCAGCCGCACCCGCGGTTCCCGGTTCGAGTCCCAGCAGTGCCAAAACCTCCTCGCGAGTCATCTCGTCCTCGGACTCGTCTTCCTCCCCCCCACCTAACACCGTGCCACCTAACACCGGGCCGCCTAAGCTTGGATCAGAGCCACCTTGGAGGAGGACTTCCAGGTCAGTGGCACCGGCTTCCCGTTTGGTAAATGGAAGGACCTGTTGGAGACCCTGTTGTTTGGCCAGGCGGTTGTAATATTCATTAAGGAACTCGCCGTTGAAATAGGGATGTTCTTCATCCGCGGCATGGACGTCGATACCATGTGCAAGTTCCTCGGGGTCGTAGCCTTCAGTTTCTGGTGAGGCGCGATGTGTGACCCCGTAACGCATGGGTGTTGAGAAGCACTGCTTGAGAAGCGGATCCCAGTGGGTCACATACTGTCCGGCGTCCCGGGTGATGACCCAGGCGTAGGCGCGTCCAGGGGCGCCAGGTTGGTCACTCTTGAGTGTCCCGAGGGCTACGTAAGCGTCAAAGCCAAGTCCAAGAAGGAAAGAGCAGAGTACAGCAGCGTGTTCCTGTATCGTGCCTTTCCGTACGTTTAGTGTGTGGTTCGGCGTGTTCCATCCAACTGTTCCCGTGGCGTTACCGATGGTGCCGCCGGTAGTGTTGGTATAGGAGATGCAGCTGACCCAATGCAATAGCTCTCCCGGTCCCGAAATGCCCTTGGGTACCGGCGTAGGTGAGATGTAACCGCAAAGAGGATACCAGCCCTCACCGCCACGACGGGACATACACATCCATACACGGCCGGGAGGTGCCTGTGGGTACCATTCACGGTAGCTACGCTGCCACTGGATCCAATCGCGTTCCCAGCGATTCCGTATCTGATTGTAGACGAATTGTTGTCGAGCAGCGTCTGTCATTTTTGGTATTTTTAGACCTTCTGGCATGGCGGGGAAGAAGTAGAATTCGAAGGACATTGACGAGGTACTATTTACCGCCTCACCACGCACACCTAGTGCATTTTCCAGGAGGAAATTGTCGTTGTTGAACACGCGTGTGCGTACCTTCTTTAAATAAAAGGGCAATCCGCCTGTTTCTTCTTCAGCTTGACGTTCGCCCTCCTCCTCCTCCTCATCATCAGCGGCTTCCGAAGCGGCTTCTCGACGCGCGAATTTTCGATCATCTTGCTGATAGTCTACACTTTCCAAAAGAGACCTTAATTCGAGTGTTGTCTCATTGCTAGTTAACAAGTACATTGGAATTTGTCCCGATGCCAACAACTCAATGTTTCCGTCATCATCCGTGTGCCATACTTTTACATATACGGGTCCTTTTGTTACAAGATCGATGGGTAGACAGTTCTGAATTAATTCCTCTTTTTTCAAGATACTGTCATGTATCAATCGTACGGGGAAATGGAAGGTCTCATTGAAGATGGGTTGAAGACTCTGATATACCGTACGACTGCGGTTCTCATAGCCGTCCCATATGAATTCTACGGATGGGTTACTTGACTGGCTCCAATCCTTTCCGATAAGTTTGGATAGCCTGAATAATCTAACAACTAAGTATCGTTCAGAGCTATCTAATTCTGTAATTAATGAACCTGGTCCTTGGGGTTGTCCTCCACCTACATCTGATGATTTTATACCAGAGCCGCTTATACGATTGGCGAATAGTTTACCTTGAATATTACCGACATCAACTGTAGTAGGATCAATACTTAATTTTTTTAACATGCCTTTTCGCTGTGGTAGAATTTCAACATTCTTTAAGTTAATTACCGCCGTGCCTATAAGTGCCATAGCACTCCATATCAAATGTTCTACAGGTTTTTCATAAACATGAACACGAATATAATTAGTACAGAATGATTGCTCACTTCCTGTATAAGAAAATGTCACTCCACCAGGGAACTTAGATCCAGACCAACTTCGTGACCATATGACTTGACGTCGTGTTAATGATGTAGGTACATCAAATACTAATTGACGCTTACGCATTGGAGTTCCATTTAATAAATCAATTGTCCAACCTAATAATCGACAATCAAAGCTATAAACTTCTGCTAATGATAATATAACAGATAAACGAATTATGGGAGCATTTACATTCTTAACTTTACGACGACTAATTAACGACTCATCATTCTTCACCGTCTTCACCAACTCAATAGCAGCCCTAGCTTCTTGTTTTAAAACACGCGCAAATGTTAATTCTTGTTTACATACAAACTCATTAAATGTATAATCAGATACTCTCCATAATTGAAATTCAATACTGAATGAATGTAAGTCTATACGTGATAATTTTAAGATCTTATCTCGCCAAATTATTACTAAACACATATATATAACAAATTAACTTACGTGCTGAAACCTACTTGGCTTTTCGAATGGTTTATTTTCATTAGGTTTAAGCGAATACACACGTGTGTACATAAATCGTGTTCGTAATTTGCCTTTTAAAGATTTCCTACTCCTGTTAATATGACCGAAACGTATTACAAGGAAATAAGTGTATTCCTTGTCGGTAAGATTGGTGATGGCATTAAGGGTAGATTAGATGTCCATTGACGTTTTATCGTATCCTCATTTTGTTGATTGTTCCTGTCTATTTCATTCATAGAGAATAACTCCATCTTTTGGAGTTGCAGTGCATCCCAGGCACTCAGTTGCACATCACTATCAGATAAGGATGCCGTTTCATCAAAAAGCTCATCTTCCGGAACCTCTTCATCACTTGAAATATCCGCAGGCTCATCCTGCTGCAACTCATCATCAACCCGACGCCAATCGAGTCGACGTTTTAATCGACCAGCATTATACTCGTTAGAAGTTGTTGGGACTTCGAATAAATTCATATGGAGAGAATTCACGGTGCACAATATGAAAGCCCTAACTATGGCATCAATCTTGTACCTTATCCACGGTCGGGTACCCCCTATCCACGGTCGGGTACCCCCTATCCACGGTCGCCCCCCCCCCCCCCCCCGGGGGCCATGGTCGGGTAAAGACCCCCGGGTAAAGACCCCCGGGTAAAGACCCCCGGGTAAAGACATCATCTATGGTCCTTTCAGAATTTGTTACGTCTGGAAGGTTCCATTTCGGAATATGAGTTGTCTGGTTATGTAACAGTGTTGCAGGAGATTTCGGACAATCTTAAGAAGGAAAGTGGTAACGTATATCCGCCTTTGAGCGGTAGTGTTGACTGGAGTGATCTGTTATTAGCTGCCTGTTCAGGTGTCAAGGGTATGACCAGTTTACGAGCACCTATTTATACGGGGATGTATCTTAAGTTATGTGTGGCGGCAACTAATCAGCTATCAGTTTCCTCCCATCCGGAAAGGTCTCCCTACCATTGTCGTGTGGAGGATGTACGGATCGTGGTCAAGGTCGCTGGAGATAAACGGGCAGCTGTTCCCGAAAAGATCCTCTATGACCATTACGTCGAGGCCCTTAGCCCTTGCCAATTGGCATCATTCGTCTTCAACTTTCATGCGTTATCGTCCTGCCAGCTGTGCATACATGTCAGTTGCAAACGGAACTTTTTGATCTACGGACGAAATGAGAAACGGGATATAGAGTTTCGAAGCATATATACCGTCAACTGTGTAGACCCTATCCTATTTACACAAAGAATCAAGTCAAAAACCATTACACCTAATGCCAGACTCCGACGAATGAACGACGACAGGCAGATTGCTGCCAACCAGCGCAATACCCAACCCCACCTGGACCTGGCACAGGACCTGACACAGGACCTGGCACAGGACCTGGCACAGGACCTGGCACAGGACCTGGCACAGGACCTGGCACAGGACCTGACACAGGACCTGGCACAGGACCTGACACAGGACCTGGCACAACAGGATACGGAATATTGGACGGAACTGCTTCTAGAAAACAACTGTCAAGGAACACTTCAGATACAAGAACTACTTTATGAAAATGGAGCCATCTCTCTAATAAAAACTCCTCCTTTTATTCTACGGCACCCAGGATCCAAAACCTCTTTCGTTCATCCTGCTATATTCGAACGATCCGGCAACCAAATTTTCCAAACCCTGACGTACTTGTTAAAATACAGCATTTGTGGCGTTGCTGAAATGGGCGCATTCACCATCGAACTGCCCATGCCCACACATGTGATAGACAGTTACCTCGAATCAAGGATCAAGCCGAAACTAATTCCGCTTTCATTACCGAAGGAAACCAGTCTCGGTATACCAGCTACAATCGCTTTCAAAATCGTTCGAAGGCGACATCCTGTCACATCCCCACAACCATCAGCCAAACCTGTGCCGCACGATATGCAAAGCAAGCATGATATGCTCGAAGCAGTTTTCAAAGACCCAAGTTTCCTACAAGCAAATCACGACGCCGGGGATGACGCCGGGGATGACGGCGGGGATGACGGCCATCGGGAAGAAGACGGAATAGAATCGGGCGGCGTTGCACCAGAAGATTCAGTGGAACTTAATCTAAACGCGGCCTCAATGTATAGGAACGAACTTGGCGGTAAGAATGAACTTGGCGGTAAGAACGGAACTGCCAACGACCGGAACCAGCCTTTGGAGGAGGTCATCTTCGTTGAACCTGTACCCAGTTCGCATCTACATTTAATTGGGTCCTTTCCCGTGCGAGCAAGACTGAATGAACAGCTCCTACTTACTTTTCTACCGAGCAAAACCGGCTGGAATTTGTTTCCTCAGTTCAAAGTGACACCGTTCGCCGCCTCTCAACATGACGTTAGGAATCGCGAAAGCCATTTGCTTACCATCGATATGAGTTACAAATGTGTGTGACGGAGTTGTGCATGGCAGCGAGGGAGTCTGGAGGAAGGGTATTCTGACAACGCACTAAAATTCGATGCACCAATGGTCCAAGGGTAGGATTTGAGCTTCCCAAGCTTAAAGCCCGGGTTCGAGTCCCGGTTGGTGCAAATCGTCCGTAATTCCGGGATCCAAACCCAGAAAAAACCGGTGCAATCATCCTACCTCGTACGAGATCCAAGATCGGCTGGAGAAGCTATCCTTATACCATTGCGTCTCTTCTTTAATATCTCCAACGATCGACGTTGTGTCAGAGGCTCGGGGTTTCGCGGGGGGTAAGAACGAAGTTGCGAGAGGTCTTTCGGGGCGGAAAACCCGCAACCGTATCTCCATAAAAGCCTGCCAGTATTAGTTGCTGAACTTTTGTAACCGGTTTCTTACTCGCGGGAGACATGCCCGTGTCTGCCAATGACTGATTTGTCTGCATAAGTCGCAGTACAACCAGTTACATTTGGGAAGAGGAAAACGGTTTCAAAAAGACCCACGAGAGAAAGGCTGTTGCAGCCCGACACAAGAGCTCAGCCCTATTTTGGGTACGTGGCAGATAACTGTGGACCTGGGGGCAGAGTGTATTATGGATGTGGTTTGCCTCATGAATCGATATGCATTCACGACTTATTACATTCAGAGAACGTTTACAATAGTTGTTTTTCCCCGCACCTTCTAGGAACCAGACTTCACACAACTGTGCAGTTCGGCGAAAACTAGTGGGTTGAAACTAGTGAGTTGAATTGCACAGAGAGGTTCAATACTTTGCCCTCAAAAGAGCTCAGGACGTGAGCTCAGGACGCCAAGACAGAACACGCACATCGCCCTTCTGGTTTTTTATTTATAAAAAGATGTGGTGTTTCGTGACTGTGGAGTTTCGTGTTTGAGGAGTTTCGTGCCTTCGAGTAATTTGTCTTTCGGAAGTTAATTTGCGACTGTAGTTAACTTGTCAATGTGGGAGGTGATACGGTGAGTTATCATCGGGTTCAATATGATGATTTGATACAAGCATATGTCTGAATCAATGTGAAGACGACATCAGAGTCATAGTTCTGACACATCTACGAGCGACACACACCAAATGATGATTTGATACAAGCATATGTCTGAATCAATGTGAAGACGACATCAGAGTCATAGTTCTGACACGTTTCTGTTTAGTGGTACATCTCTGCACAGCGGTGCACACATATGATGACACCATTACGCTTGGCTTCCGAAATAACTTTGAGGAGATCTCGTATTTATCAGTTATCCCTGTCTGACATTGTATAGCCGAGTGTCGTCTTGGTCTGGAGTGTCGTCTTGGTCTATGTTCTTATTTATAGTTGCCTGCATCCTCTTAGAGTTGCTTTCATTACTGAGATTGAACCGTGATGAGAGTGCTTATGGATGCGGAAATTGAATAACGTGGTCTCAGTGGATCGACTGGCTTGCATGTACCAGAACGATTTGTACAAAGACACGTACAACTATGTCACTCGGTTATTTATGTTCGCACACTCATGCAACTCATTCACCTCTTCCCGTCCGGGTTCCTTGATTGATTCCTAACACACCAGCTCGGCATTTACGTACCCTCGCATCATGATGAATACTTAAAGGATACCGACTCATATCTATGACGAAGTTCATAAGATAGGCATTTAATTACTGACATGATAGCTGTGCCCGCAAGAGTGATGATATGAAACTTGGAGACCTAAGCTGACCTTTATGGGTGATGCGATATGTTCTATATCTGACACGGGATATGTAGTTGGACGAACCAGACACGGGTCTATGATGCGTGTGTGGTGACCTACGCTATATGAATATCATCATGATGACACCATTACGCTTGGCTTCCGAAATAACTTTGAGGAGATCTCGTATTTATCAGTTATCCCTGTCTGACATTGTATCTGCACATACACGTGCGGGCTTGTGTATCCTCTTATGCATATGTTCCTATGCCTACCTGCATCCTCTTAGAGTTGCTTTCATCACTGAGATTGAACCGTGATGAGAGTGCTTACGGATGCGGAAATTGAATAACGTGGTCTCAGTGGATCGACTGGCTTGCATGTACCAGAACGATTTGTACAAAGACACGCACAAGTCAACAATATGTTAATCTGGATGTGGGAGATGACACGGGTGGGGTGATGACACGGGTGGGGTGATGACACGGGTGGGGAGATGACACGGGTGGGGAGATGACACGGGTGGGGAGATGACACGGGTGGGGAGATGACACGGGTGGGAGATGACACGGGTGGGTGATGAC